CGTAGGTCACTGAAGGCACACACTCAATATTAAAAATAGAAAAAAATATGAAACCAATTTTTTGTGGCTTCTAAAAAGCTGTAAATACATTGATTGAAAAAAAAAAGTTCCACAGACAACCGGAAGCATTCTGTGCGTTCGTCGTTTCGCGTATCGTGGGACTCGCGGGGACGACGATGGCAGTGGACGACGGGCGTGGGACCTTTATTTCAGAACTGTTGTTCGCGGTACCGGTGAATTCTGTCTACCTTTAAAAGAGAAATTTGGGACTGATCAAAAGAATTGGTATTCAGCCCGTACGACACGCCCGACCCCCAAGTCGATTTGCATGAAGACGTCGCCGAGCCGTCGCTCCCTTCTCGTGGCTGAAGACATCGCTCGCGCAAACGTCAAGCACGACATGTTTACTTCGAGTTGAATATGCACGCGTACGATTTCTTTACTAGGTGCGAATGTCGCCAATGCGTGGTGCTTCCCGACTTTGATCCGGGAGTGCTTTTGCTAGAGAAAAATCGGCAGCAAACTTTCGAACTTACAGTTTACCGGCTGAATCATTACTATGGAAAGAGATCCACCAGTCTAGAGTTGCCCCAGTAGCTCAGTGGGGAAGACGTCCGCTTCACACGCGGTAGGACCGGGTTCAATCCCCCGTGAAACTTTTCTTTTTTTTAAACATTTTCCGATGTTTACATCTCTTTTTTTTTTTCTTTTTTTTTTTTTACAATTATCATAGAAGAAACAAACAAAAAAGTAAGAAACAAATGTTGTGGACGACACTTCGCTGAATTAAATGGTATGGGATTTCCTTTTTGACACTTGCGAAGTCAATGTAATCACTTTCCACAAAATGCAAGGAGCATATAAATCAGGTAGCGTTCGCTTTCCGAGGTGCCCGTAAATGTTCTACAGGAATTGCAGCCAGCCATTGGTCCCGATCCCGTTGATCTTTCGGAAACTCTCTCGCACAATGCCCCCTTTTTTTTTTTTTTCGGACGCAAGACATGTGAGCCAGCTTTTCACGCAACATCTTGGGTGTATTCTTTTCGGAGCCGATCATAGAAATTCACCACGGGCACTCACTACTCATCTCCAACTCCTCAATGTACAAAACAACTCATCTTGGAGTACAGAACAACGAGCGGAACAAACATAACTGCAAAAGAATCGCACAGCGAACAGTTCCCGTATGCCGCATGTCGTGTCGTCTGCTACAAAGAGGAGAGAAAAAAAAAAAGAACGCACGGTTGGGTGTAGCTTTGTGACTTCCGCCACTCACTCTCTTCTCTCCACTTCTCCAACCTCCGTCGGGTTTCGGTTTCGAGCAGTTGCGTCTTTTGGCTTTATTTAAAAAATATGCTACTCTGTTGCAAAATATTAATTGGGTAGTCCTCCGACACCATAATGAAGCGCCTGGCAAAAAATGGAAAAAAATTTTGGGGGGGTGTCAGTGTCCCTTTAAACCACATGCATACACATATATTAATAAAAACATAAACTTCAGATATTTAATTCCTTTAGTTGTAAATCATTGTCAGCAGCACACATCTTGAATATTGCACAATGTTTACGCACGAAACAGTTATTAAAAAAAAAAACTTTTGCAGACTACTTTGTGGTGCGTAGGAATGCTTTTTTTGAAGCTGAGAACAGACCCTCAGCCTTTGGTTGCGCTCGGACGGAAGCTGAAATGAAGTATAGTTTTTTTACGTTAAGCCTACAAAGTCTGCACGCAACTGGAGGCCAAAATGTGAAACTTTGGGACGGCTTAACCACCGACCGATTGGACACGAGCGATGCGTCAGAGTTTGGCAGGGCACTCGGAGATCTGAGCTCGAGATCGGGGCCAATGATTACAGCCGTGGGCCATCTCAGTGTTACAAGAATGATCCACAGGATGGCACCACCAGCCAAATCAATCTTTATTGCCCGGTGGGTATCGGCCGCAGTTAAATATCGTCACCGCGGGGATCACAAAGCTTGATGACGAAACCCTGAAGATTGAATTGTTGACAACGCCAACAATGCATCAATAATGTGATCCCCTCATTTTCATCCTGAATTTTTGTAAAAGAGAAACTGAACAAAGAAAATCTGCTTTTATTTTTGAAATTACACGGCGACTAAGAAGGTTCTTGGTCATACTTATGTCCCAATAAGTCCGGTAAGCTTATATAAAAAGAGAAACCAAGATCGTTGCACAGCCCCTTTAACGTATACACAATTGAGGGAACCTTGTTTTGTGAATACATTTCCTTTAATGATAGCTTTAAATAGATGGATGTAATTTAATGTGTTGTTGTGGCAATGACATCTTAGAGTGTTTTGTTATATTTCTAAATATTAACAAAAAATGTTTTTGTGTTTGTTATACTTTATGATGATAATGCAATTAATGCAAAAGTGTTAGCGAGCTGGACATGTGTTTTTCCTTGGTCCTCCTTCTCCAGGGGTAATTATTGTCATTCTTATACTGCCTAGTTAGATTAAGGGGGGACACTACCCAAAAAAGTAAATTTTTGAACCACTTGTCTGATTTCAATTATATTTACAGGGCTTGTGTCTGTTGATGTTGAGAACATTTCTGCCAACTTTTGTTAACCTGGGTGAAGTACAAAAAAAATTGCAGACATTCAAAGACGAAAGTGGGCATGTCTGCGTAGGAAAACTATCGTTTTGAAATTACTTATAAATTTGTCGTTTTCATGTGTTGCATTGCATTAGGACAGTTCAGAGCAGATAACTATGGAGCTATATTTCTATGTTATACCATCTTTCATGACAAAAAAGCCACACATGAAATAAAGACACAAATGCAGTTTTTAGATTTCCATCTTTTGTCCAAACTTTTTGTTCTTGAGCATGACAAATGACAAAAATAAAAAATACAAGCTCATAGTTATCTTCCTCTTAAAATTTCACCCCAGAAAAACTCGTAAAAATGAATCCAAGTTGCGTAATAACAAAACGATAGTTTTCTAAAGTGAAATTTATGCCAAAAAGGGGAATGGAGAAAAATGCATTCAAAGTGCTCTAACCTCTACCCTTTCTTTAGCATCGGTGGACGGAAAATAATTTATAAAAAAGTAACTATGCAGTGTAAACTAATGATACTTTCTGGGAATACTCTCTAGATGTTGGTGGATGTAAATATGACATTTTTCAAAATCAAATTATTTTTGCAGAAATTGTTTTTACTGGGTAGTGTCCCCCCTTAAGTTAACGAGTTTCTTTGTTTTGTTTTTTCCTTTTGCTTTCTAACTTTCAGCACAAGTTTGGCGTTTGATGATTGCATTTATATTTCTTGCATCTGCTGGGCCACGTTATGCAAGCTATTAAAGGGCTCAACGATTTATAGTTCAAATACACAAAATAATAGAATATTATTATGAAAAAGGGAAACAAACAACCGGCATTGGCAGCAAGATGCAGATTTGTGCCACCGTTGCTTTTTGTAGCCTCCTGGAAGTCAAAGGTCTGAATTTGGGCAGCACAGAACGTTCTGGAATCAAAAAGTTATCGGCTGCTGGGCTTCCATCCCGACTAGGAAAGCCTAAAGCCGGCGTGCATGCGGACAACTCAACTATGTGAGCTTGACTCGTGCCATTTCAAATTACATGAAGCAAACACAAAACGCTGATCCGCCCATGCTCTTTCAGAGAGTAATGTTTTTTTTTCCTAAAGGCAAGAAGCCTTAGCTTGTGCCCTGTCGTTGAGCAATAGACCTTTGACCTTTGCTGGGAATGTAGGTACGTCCACTGTTCGTGCTCTCCTTAGCAGTATAAAAGATTCAAAGTAAATAACTGAAATTATGCACGGGCGTTAAAGGGCAACTCCGCTCAATTCCGAAGATTTCGGGATAATGAGTGATTTCGAATTAAAAAGCCCTAGTAAAAGACACTACGTTGTTTGCTTCGTGAAAAATGGGATATATATTTTTAAATCTAATTTTAAACACGAGCGGAAATCGAAACCGAAACTTCGGCTCCGTCCGGCAACATTGGCCTCGGGCCGCTAAGTACATGGCCATCACATGGTACGAGATGTCACGTGATCCTCGGCCCACTGACGGGCGGGATGGGGGCGGCGGGCGTGCGGCAAGCGCGAGTGTCGTCTGCGCACTCTTCGCCACGTTTTGGTGTCTACGGCATTCAACGACGTCTGCACAACTGCGGCATAAGTCTGCGACTCTGCGCACGTAGTGTCCATAGTTTGTACGAAACTCCGAGAGGCAATAATCACAAACGGTGAGACGACGACAGTGGTTGTGACGCGGAAGACGGCGGTAACGGCGGGACCACGGCGGGCGGTTGGTCTGCTCCCAACAAGCGCGCTGCGCAGGCGCATACGGCAATCACGTGGACACCACTGAGCGCCGAGAGGCAACGTTGCTGACGTCATGCGCTATGCTCGATCGGAGAAGTAAAAACAAGCAAAAGGGGGCCATGATGATGACGTTTAGCTCAATGTTGGCTCCGCCCATGCCGTAGCCTTGACTGCGCTGTTGGTTGCGCCTGAATTCGCCCGCTCGAGTCAGCCGATTTTGGCAACTTGGCGAGTTGCAAAGTTTGCCGGACCGTTTAAGAAACATTTAGATAGAACTGCGTCGTAATATTTGATGTGTGGTCTTTGGCGATACTGAAGAGGACTGCATTGTTTTTCAAAACCAAAAATGAAGCGGAGTTGCCCTTTAGCAGTATAAAAGATTCAAAGTAAATAACTGAAATTATGCACGGGCGACCGCACACGCACAATGTCTTGTTTTGCACTTGCTTCAGAACAATTGATACACTCGCAGCATGCTCCTTGATGCTCGAGCAATTTTGCGAAAAGTCTATTACCCTGTCATATTATTAGAGTCAATGAATGCTGTAATTCATATACAGATATTGCGTGAAGCAGCCTAAAAGTGGTGAATTACCCACCCGTCTGCATCGACGTTCGGATGTCGGCAGTTCTTTATGGCCGCTGATGCCTGTGTCCCCCTTTTGGATATGGTGCAGGAGACGTTTTATGAGGACCCCCCAGGCGTGGCCAAGTATGTGATGGGCATAGTGCACGGGGCCGCCCACGGCATGCCGGACCTGGTTGACTACTTTGCCGAGCACCACCCCAACCTCGTGGTCAAGTGCGGCATCATGGGGCGGCAGTCGGACATCGAGACCACCTCCATGGCCAGGTTTCAGGAGATGGTGAGCACTTTCTGCTCTCTCCCTGCCTGGGCACCGTCGTGGAGTGGAGAATGCTGCCTCTGCTATACTCCGCGACAACTTTTCTTGGCAATGCAGTGGAAGGTACAGGCCCGCGTCCCCTCTCCCATTTTGAGTGTGCGCGGGCTCTCCTCCTTTCCCCGGAAATGGGGGAGGAGGAGAGCCTGCGTACACTCAAAATGGGAGAGGGGACGCGGGCCTCTACCTTCCACTGCATTGCCAAGAAAAGTTGTCGCACAGTATAGTGTGACGAACACACCGGATATCTAGCTTCAGCATGAAACAACTGTATCGTACGATGGATCTCGGTGCTGTAAAACGAGCCGTCAAAATCTGTGCTTGCACATAGAGAGCTCAAACGTTCACCGAATGTCCATTTGGGTTGTGCACTTTATCTAGTGAAATTTCGAGGCTTAGCTTCCTTCCTGCGAATAATGGGGCCGACAAACTTGCCAGGGCCAACGGCGGACGTGTTCGCAGACGACCGAGTTAGCGATGTTTGTAACTTTTGGCACCATCTCCCGATAAGCTCGGAAAGCAGACGACACACTCTTCGTCTGTTCGCATTATACTTTATGCAGTGGTGATTTGGGCAAGTTGGTTCGTGACTGAAGTACATAATAAATAACATGCAAAACACAAGCACCAAAGTAGTAGTACAGGGTAGACAGGACGAGCACTAACTGACAACTCACGATTTCTGAAGAGCAGGAGAGCATGACCTGTCTGCATTTTACGGTAGGAGGACCTTTGGGCTTTGCAGTTTTCCACTGTCACCTTATCTTCCAGTGTATTCAAATAATAGGCAGAGGCAAAGATAAATATTCTAGGAAACTGCTGGAGGCCTACAAAATAAACGAACTAGGCGCAAAGTGCTGCATCAGTCAGACACCAATCTATTACGTACAAAAGAGATTGATTTTATTGTCAGGCGGTCATAATTGCAAAGCTCTTTAGTGTTTCTGTTGTTTCAGTGAGTTCGGGTCTTTCGCTGTGGTTGCTGTGCTGTTTTTTCCTTTGATTAAAAATCGTCAGTTAGCACTTGTCCTGTCTACTTCTAGTACTTTGGTCTTTGTGTTTTGCTTGTTATGTGTCATTTACTTTATACATTTCAGTGTTGAACACTCCATTGCTTCTGACAAGCTGCAAATGGCAGAGAACTTCTCTTGGCTGTTTTCTTTTTAGTGCTTGCTTACTGCCTTTGATGGTGCTTCATCCACATATGCACAAATGTAGGTAGTTTATGCTGGAGCTAGAACGACCGAATGGTGCTCCCCGGCGCTCTACAGCTCGTGACACATACTTTGTACTTAGCATTGACTTTGCACCCCTACAGGGAAAGGGGGTAGAGGATAACTTAGACATCTGTACTATTCGGTCGTTTTAACACAGAGTATGGTTTAGGGCTGGTTTCCACGTTTAGAGTGCCACGAAAAGTTATGAAAACGTAATAACAAGGCTAAGTCGCATGAGCTAAATTAGCGGCAAGTTTTTCCATTAAATTTAGTGGGAAACCTCGACTGACATAGTTTACTAATGTCAATGTCCAGCATGTTTTTCCGCTAAATCTAGGTCATACGATGTCAGATGACACTGCGTTATGTGATGTCACAGTGTTGCATGACACTAGGGCACGAAGCACCACTACATTACTACATTACACGATGGTGTCATGTGGCACAGTCATGGGGTTACATGATCCAGAGTGGCACCAACCCCAGAAACTAGAGGGGCAAATGAGACGCAAACAGGCCGACAGAGATGCACTCCGCATTCCTTGTCGGTCAGCTATATGTGATGTAAGTATTGAGGCCTTTTCTTTCTGAAGATGCCCATACTGGTCTCGAGTGTGAATCGCGTTTATCAAAAACACGTTTCTAATTTTTTGTGCGCGGAAAGTGCTGCCTCGCTTTCCCGTCCTAAAATGGGCCCCGTGGCATGTCCCGTATATCGCAGGTGGGACGCACGTACCGCAGCGGCACCTTCCGTTGCGGCCCCCTGCACCAGATGAGCCTGGTGGGCACGGTGCACGAGGAGGTGGGCGGCTTCTTCCCGGAGTTCCTGGCCGTGCTGGAGCGCTGCCCCTTCCTGCGCCTCTCCATGCCCTGGGGACCCCTGTCGGCCGTCGAGATGGACTCCCCACAGGTGGGCGGCTTCGCACCGTCTCGGGGCCGGTCGTACGGGACGGACACCGGCCTCCCTCCCCTGCTGAGGGGGTTTGGATTGCCGTGATTTCAGAGTCGAGGTTGAGGTGCCCGTAATCTAGCAAAGGCTTATTGCGGCGAAGGCACCGTGGCTTTTGGTTGCACGTTAGAAGATTGCCAAGTGGTCGAAATCTGACTCGAGTCCCACACACTACCTGTGGGACTTACCGACGCCCATACATCACGCGACCTCCTCCTTTCCTCCCTCTCTCCCCACCGACATCCTCGGAGCTGGACGGAGTGGTCCAACCCTCCCGGGGTGCTTGAGCCCACACTCTATCCCCTCCTCTCTCTCACCACATGTAAATGCTGGTTTACGGAAAAAAACTTGAATATAACCAACCCCTTTGCTAAACATTTTTTTTAAACATTTATGAGTGGGGTTGTGTGTTTTGGGGCTTTAATTTGATTTATATTGGAAAGGGGGGGGGGGGGTGGAGAGTGAAGAGAGAAAGAGATAAACACCAAAAAAAATGCATAGTGAATTGCTGGGCAATTGTGTTGACAACTCCAACTTGGTTTTTATTTTATTTTATTTTTCTCTTTTTTTTTTATATTCATAAATCCGATTTGGGGGTTTTCTTTTCGGGGTTTATCGGTGTACCTACTATACCGAAAATATGGAGCCCTAGGTGTGAGCAATACTATAGCCCCTTATATAGGAAGAAAGCCTTAACGATAGCCCTCCTGTTAGCTGTAGAAGACTGAGGAGGAAGAGAGACCTCTTAATCAGCGCTAGGAAAAGCGTGGCGGCCAGCTGTGATACTGAATCGCCCCCCGCGGTTCGGCGATGGTAGGCATTTCTCCCAATTTCCGCCATACCTACTCTGGCAATGCGCACCTGCATTGCTCTCTCTCTTTCTCCCATGTTTCACGGCCGGTTCTGGCACCGGCTTCGCAGAATTTCCCCCTCTATAGGAGGTTAGTCCGATACTTTCCGCTAAACTTTCGAACTCGGCTGCGGGCAGGATCGCACCACATGTATAGATTCGTCTACGCCATCTCTCGTCTCGGGAGAACGTGCCGCCATTGGTGCCCTCTCGCCATTCCCTCCACGCAGGAGAGCAACGACGGGCCGATCCTGTGGGTGCGCCCAGGGGAGCAGCTGATCCCGACGGCGGAGCTGGCCCTGCGCTCGCCCAGCAAGCGGCAGTCCGGGGCGGCCCGGCGGAGCGAGCTGCGCAAGCTGCAGTACCTGCCGCGGGCCTCGGAGCCCCGGGAGACGCTCTTCGAAGACCGCACCAAGTGCCACGCCGACCACGTGGGGCAGGGCTTCGACCGGCTCACCACGGCCGCTGTCGGGGTGCTCAAGGCGGTTCACGCCGGCACCTGGTGAGTCTCCTTCCGCTGCTTCCCGACCCTTTCTTCCTCCCTTTTCCCCACCCTCCACTGGGGATGCGCACGAGGGTCATGGTCATCATAGTGGGACGCTGGGGTTGGTGAAGCACAGGGCATATGCCGAGCTCCAGACACTGTTAGAGTTTTGCTATTCCTATCAGTGCAGCCGCAAGCCGCTGCGCGAACGTTCGTCGGAGTATCAATTGTTACCAAGCTCAAGGCAAAGGCTCGCGAGGTGCTTGTGGCTTTAGACCTGCACGAAGGGGTTATTCTTGTGACTGTGTCAGCGAGCTTTGCGAAGGAAAGACCGAAGGAAATATAGTCTGCCTTGTCTTTTGAGTTACACTGTGACAAAGAAGCTTCAGAGTTGGAAATGGTGTGCGTTAGTAGCGTAGTGCGGTCACGCTAGGGCCAGCATGCTTGCGTGAAGTGCGTAACACTTCGACTGAGGATTGTTCCGCGACCCATTTAATACAGTGTCTGCCCTTAACTTTGGAAGACAAGGCTTTGAGACGACATCAACAGGGAAATAGGTTACGCGCATGTTTATCGCTCTTCCGTATTGAAAGGTGTACGAGCTGGGTGCCTTCGCGTTTCAGTGGCGAGAGCAACCGCATCACCAAGGACGTGGTGGCCTTCCACGCCGGGGACTTCAACCAGCTGGCGGAGAAGTTACAGCTGGACCTGCACGAGCCACCCGTCTCCCAGGTGAGCTGAACTCCCACAACAGGCATTCGAAACATATCTTAGCCGTCTGGGAATGCAAGGACCCGAGAGAGCTACTGGCTCAACTGATGAAGCACAATAAAGTTTGGCTGATGAACCAATCAAATTCAGCCTATAAACCGATGAAGCGTGATGAAGTTCAGTCGATGAACCAGTGAAGTTCAGCTGATGAACCGATCAAATTCAGCCTGTAAACCGATGAAGCGTGATGAAGTTCAGTCGATGAACCAGTGAAGTTTAGCTATGAAGTACAGTGAACGTCAGTCGACGAACCAATGAGGTTAGCTAATGAGGTGCAACGAGTTGAACCTATGAATCGTTGAAGTGCGATGAAGTTTAGCTGAAGAAGTGCAATGAACTTCATTTGATGAACCATTGTCCAACCAATGAAACTTCATCAGCTGAACCGATGAGGTCTCAAGCTGTTTTATCCAGAGGAATTCATTGTTCTTTTTGACACTGTTGCAGTAAAACAATCTAAAGATGGGTCTTTGGCTTGTGGTGAAGTGCATCTTCAAGTTGCTCTCAAACGGGGGAGGCATTTTGCTTGGGTATAAAGAGAATTCTAGATGCTCAAGGAATTTCTGGAGACTGTTTGTGGAACTTCTGGTTCCCAAGAACCTAGTCTGAGAACCACTGGCCTAAATTAAAAAGGTTTGCGGGAAATAGTGGCAGTTTTGAGGTGGATGCACATCTGTTGACTTTTAACGGAGAATCTGTTTTTGACTCAGGGGTGGGGGGCTGTGATTCTGAAAAGAGATCGAACGTTGCAGACGGGGTGTACCTCGGAGACCACGTGTGCGTCTAACATCACGGTGTCGTACGATGCAGTGACCTCACGTGACCTGGTTACTTAGCTGCGTGGCATAGTGACGTGACCTTATCACGGGACTAGGTCCTGCGACGTCACCGTGTCACGTGACGTGGTATTGAGTAGTCTCAAGGCCAGTGTTTGTTCAGACGATTTCTCCTTTCACAGGAGCCTAGGCACTTTTTTTAAAACCTTTTATGTTGTTTGTTTTCATTTATTTAAGACAATTCTGTTTACAAGCATTGTCTCGGGTGACATGGCTAAAGGCAGATTTAACGCCCGACAAGGCCATGCCACCCTTTCGGTCACTGCAATGGTACGTAACATGAACATTGTTAACAGACGTAAGAAAATACAAGGAGGCAGTCAATCGCTCACAAAAAACTGAGTAACTTGATTAAAATTAAAAAACAAAGAAGCACATAAGCTGTAAAAAAAAATCTTAACTTGCAGAAAAAAAGAAAAAAAAAAACAACAATGGAACACAGAAGTCAACAACGAACTGGTTAAAGTGCAGCTGACAAACCGAATATCAATATATTTTTATTATTGTGAACAACCTAAAATGATTCCTGGGGATCGCCCTAAAAATATCGAGCATAAAATTTGCGTATTTGCGGAGAAAAAAAAAAAAAAGTTTTCAGAAGGCTTGATTTGAAACGCTCGCCCAAATCTATGGCGTTGCATACTCAGTGAAATGGTGAACTCCTTGCCTTTTTGGGTGATTTCAAACAGGAAGTGTTGTTTAACTTTCTCTGCATGCGAAACCCTTCTTCGCGTGGAGACAAAGCATCACTTTTCAGCTCCTCTCTTTTAGCAGCGTTACTCAATCTAAAACTATCAAAAAAGGTGAGGAAGAAAACAACCTGTAGCGGACCTTGGCAAGCGACGTGAGGGGCGACGGTGTTTTATGGTAATACATCAAAATGTAGTCAATAAACTGCTTTTTAGGAGAACAGAAAAAGTCTATACTAATGTCTAAAAAAAAAAGTGTCTATTTGAAATGCTGAACTTAAAATTTGTAGAAAAATAAGAAAGAAAAGTAAACTTTTGCAGCTGTATGTTAAATCATAATACGATTTTTAAAAATCCTAAATATGCAGTGTGCCCTCTACACGCCACTATCGCTCCTGTAAGTTAGAGAGCTCTAGCTGATGCCGTCTTTTTATGGTTCGTCGGAAAGTGTGCTCTCGTGGCATCTTGCCATTCAGAGAGACTGTTACATGCAGAGGTGCATGTTCTCCAGAACACTTTTTTTTTTGTTTTGTTTTTTGCACAATTTCTTGGTTTTTATAGCACTGCTTTTTCTTCTCTGCTGGTGTTTTTACGGCTCGCAGCACACATGAATTATGTGCCCTAGCTAATTACAGCCTAGAAAGCTTGAACAACACTTTCCACCGAGCACCTGTCAATATTCTGCACCTCAGAGAGGAAATGTCACTGTAGGAGCTGAAATCAAACAATCCAACATCATACAAAGTCCTCACTGCTGACAGTCATCCAAAACACCAGCAGTAGAAGCAGTTAAATTGTGCAATAGCTATCTTTGTAGAGGTACCCAATGTCAGTGGTAGAAGTAGCCAATGTTGACAAGTGCTATCGTTGCACAGAGATTTATTTCTCATAGCTCACCAGCTTGGGAGAAAGCACAAAATGAAATTGAAACCGAAGGTGCAGTTCTTTGGCTATTCACGAGATGGCGCAACATGTTCCTGCACGCCAAATTCGAATTGGGACCGTGCGTGGAATCCATTGATCACAATCACGGGTGACGGACGGCCATAGGGCACGGTACGGAAAGAGTCAAGTGTCAGCATTTGGTTTCCCTACAAGGCCAGTAAGACACTCTGACGTTGACAGCGTTTCTTTCATGCCTGTCTGTGCAGTGTGTGCAGTGGGTGGAGGACGCCAAGCTGAACCAGCTGCGGCGCGAGGGGGTCCGCTACGCCCGCATCTCGCTGTGCGACAACGACATCTACTTCCTGCCACGCAACATCATCCACCAGTTCCGCACAGTCACGGCGGTGGCGAGCGTGGCCTGGCACGTGCGGCTGCGCCAGTACTATCCCAAGGACAGCCCCAACCTCGCCGATGCCAAGAAGGTGCCCGGCGAGGCCAAGGCAGAGACCAAGGTCGAGGTCAAGGTCGAGGCCAAGGTCGAGGACGGCAAAGGACGAAAGAGGGACGCCGACCCCAAGGGCCTGAAGGAGCAGCCAGCCAAGAGGGTCAAGCTGGAGTCGCCCAAGGGAGCGGCGGAGAGCAGGGAGAGAAGACCGGAGGACGGCTCCCCGACGAAGAAGCATCGCGGTTCGGAGAAGCACATTCGTGGCAAGGACAGGAAGGAGAAGAGCAGGGAATCCAATCCTAAGGGTCAGGACGGCAGGGGCAGGGACTTGGGCTTGGGGTCTAGGAGTCTCAACACAAAGCCAGTCGAGAAAAAAGGTGCAGAGGTGAAAGCGCTGAATTATGATGCATTGGAGACAAAAGCTACATGTTCAAAATCTCTGGAGACAAAAGTTTCACAGACAATAGCTTCAGAAACAAAAGCTCCAGAGATAAGGACTCCAGAGATAAAGGCTCCAGAGATAAAAGCTCCAGAGATGAAGGCTCCAGAGATAAAGGCTCCAGAGATGAAGGCTCCAGAGATGAAGGCTTCAGAAATGAAGGCTTCAGAAATGAAAACTGCAGAAATTAAAATTGCAGAGATGAAAACTGCAGAGGTGAAAACTATAGAAACGAAAAGTCCAGAGACAAAAACTCTGAGGACAGAGTTTTCAGAGAAGAAGACTCCAGAGATGAAGACTCCAGAGATGAAGACTCCAGAGATGAGGGCTCCAGGGATGAAGGCTCCAGAGATGAAGGCTCCAGAGATGAAGGCTGCAGAGATGAAGGCTCCAGAGATGAAGGCTGCAGAGATGAAGGCTCCAGAGATAAAGGCTCCAGAGATGAAGGCTGCAGAGATGAAGGCTCCAGAGATGAAGGCTGCAGAGATGAAGGCTCCAGAGATGAAGGCTCCAGAGATCAAACCTTCAGAGACCAAACCTCCAGACACCAAACCTCCAGAGACGAAGGCTTCGGTGACCAAAGCTTTGGAGGCAAAAGCTCCAGAGACAAAAGCCCTGGAAATGAAAGCTCTGGAAACAGAAGCCTATGAGATAGAGGCCACCGAGACGAACACTTTGGAGACAAAGGTTTTGGAGGCGACAGTTTCGGTACCGAAAGCTTTGGAGGCAAAAGCTTCGGTGGCAGAAGCTTCAGAGGGGAAAGTTGCAGAGGCAAATGCTTTAGAGGCAAACATTCTAGAGGCAAAAGCTTTGGAGACTAAGGTTCCTGAGACAAAACCTCTGGAGATGCATGCTCAGGATACAAAATCTCCAGAGACAGTTCTAGAGTTGAAGATGTCTGAAAGTAAACTTCCAGAGACAAATGCTCTAGAAATTAATCCTCCAGAAACCAAGCTTACAGAAATTGCCCCTCCAGAAATAAAGCCTCAAGGGGCAAAACCTGTAGATACTAAGCCTCCAGAGGGTGAGCCTCTACAGACAAAGCCTCCAGAAACAAAGCTTCCAGAGACAAAGCTTCCAGAAACAAAGCTTCCAGAAACAAAGCCTCCAGAGACAAAGCCTCAAGAGACAAAGCCTCTAGACACAAAGCCTCCAGAGACAAGGCCTTCAGAGACAAGGCATCCAGAGACCATATCGTTACAGACAAAACCTCCAGAAAAAAGAAAGGCAAAATCTCCAAAGACAAAAGCCTCATCAGTAAAAGATTCTGGGACAAAGGACACCAGGGGCCAAGAAACCAGAATTTTACAGACAAAATCATTGGTAACAAACACCCTGGATGGTAAGGCCCCCGACACGAAAAACTCTGAAAAGGTTCTGGTGGCAAAAGCTGCAGAGACCAAGAATCAGGAGAGAAAAACCCTCGAGAGAAAATGTCTCGAGACAAAAAGTCAAGAGCCAAGGTATCCGGAGACTAAAGGCTTGGAAAGAATCAGTAAAGAACTCAAAGGTCCGCAAACAAAAGTCCCGGAGGGAAAGAAGCGTACTGAACTGAAACATTTTGAGACTAAAGGTCTGGGATCGAGAGGGGTAGCCATGAAAGGTCCAGAGGTCAAGGCACTAGTATCAAAGGTAGTCGAAACTAAGCCAGCCTCCGAGCTCAGACCTCTTCACACGGTCGTCACGCGAAAGGAGGCCGCTAAGCCTGAGAAGTCCTCTCACGCGAGCAAGACGCACGCCCTTTCAGCCATTCCGGACGCCCGAACGAAAGCGGGGCAATCGACCGGCCGAGAAAACAATCGGATCCCGGGAGCCGCGGCAGAAGGCACCAAGTCAAAGAAACATGCACCTTCCGTCTTCGCCTCGCACGCCGTTCCGGCGAGTCCCATGGTTCCCGTAATCCCCACGACTTCCATCTTCGAAGAGACGTTCAAGACGGCGTCGCTTTCCACGTCGCCGCACCCCGTGCTGGTCCCCGTCTCCCCCATGTTCCACGTCGCGTCGCCCCCTCCGCCAAAACCGCCCGCGAGCGTGGCGAGCCCGCCACGCGACCCCGCGCCGCCGCAGCAGCAGCCAGCCTATGCGCCGCGTCCCGGCCACCCGACCTACCACAGCCACCCGATCCATCCCGGTCACCAGATGCACCCGAGCCACCTGACGCACCACGTTCACCTGAGCCACCCCATCCATCCGAGCCACCTGATGCACGCGAGCCACATGATGAACGTCGGCCACATGATGCACGGGAGCCACCTGCCACCGCAGCACGTATACCCCGAGATGGTGGTGTCAGGTAGCTTCCTGCCGTCCATGCGCGACATGATGCAGCAGCAACCGCCGCCGCCGCCGCCGCGCTTCGAGCAGGCCCTCAACTACACGGCGATGACCAGCGGCACGCCGGTTACGTTCGCCGCGCTCGCACCGGGCTTTGGCGTGCCGCGGCTCGGGGTGCCCGCAACGGGTTACTGCCAGCAGATCCCAGCGCAGCCGGCGCCACCGAGGGTGGCGGAGCCCGAGCGGACGTTGGACGAGTATGACGACCCCGGCACTCCCCTGATGGACGAGGAGCCACTGCGCGATGAAGATGACGGGGCGCGGACGCCCCCACCGCGCGCCTCCTACGAGTGCTGCACCCCTCTGCTGGCCGAGGAGAGCCCGGCGGTCAGGACTCTGGACCTGCGGTGAGGCGGCGGCCTGGCGGCGCTCGCGTGCAACTGCGGGAAGAATTTTCTGAACAACCCGCACCGGCGGCGTTGTCTGCTTCGCGCCGTCCGACGGGACGGCTCCGTTTTGTTTCGTGCGGGACACCCGACTCTCCCCGCCGGCGACGCGCGATCTCTGGAACTTCCGCGCCCCGTGGCCCGGACCGTCAAAAGGGGGGATTCGGGCGAGGTTACGGGGGTGGTTGTGTGTTCGGCAAAAACTTGTGTGTGTGTGTGTGTGTGCGGTGAACAACTGGTCACGAGTCGTGCATTTTGTTTCATTTTTTAAGTTATTTAAAGCTCGCGTCGTAAAGTGTGTCGGGCGCGCGACGATCGTCTCGAGGTTTTGTGATGGATTTGATCGTTGCATCGTACCGATCGAGTTTTTGCGTTGGTTGATTTGCCGTCGAGCCTCTGAGCCTCTCCGGGCAACTTCGGCGTGGGAGAAGGCAACCATCGTAGGTGTGAGATGTATATTTTGATAAGGGGAACTGTTGCGAGGCAAAATGGAACGAGGACCAGCTTCCCGAATTTCCGCCCGGTTGTTTTCTGTCCCGGCACTTTCGTCGAATTCCGCGTGGTTTTGGTTCGATATGTCGGACGACCGGGCATGTACAGATCGACCGGTGTGACAATTGGCTTGCGTACGTTCATCATCTTCGGTTTCCATGTGTACTTACGCATCAAGAAGTGTCTACAAACTTTCACTCGCTCGAAGGTTTATTGTACATATTCCTGTTCAGTGAAGACAACGTCATTCGCTGCTTGTAAAAAGAGAGGTCAGTTACAGGTCACTGTTTTTTTTAAGGTCAGCAAAATTGAGAGGTGACCGAAGCCGAGCTGTGTCACGAATTGTTCGCCACTTATTTATATGATGACGTTTTCGCACGAGACTGAGAGCTCGTTGTACAGATACCTCGACTAAATAGAGGCATTTTTTGGCCTCTTACGTAGAGCTTTCTAACGTCCCCGCTACGCACACTGGGAACCGGTTATGCGCCGCATCTCTGCCGCCATCTGAACCTGTGCGCAGCTGGATTCGCATGTCGGCCTCCTATTGGCTGCTTTCCTTAGTTGTGTGTTTATAAGGACTGACACTGCGATACGTAAATGGCTTTGTGTTCTATCCTTGCGTCCTGTGGGTAGTTTTGGATTTCGACATTTCGCGCGGACGGGTGACGGGGAAAACTCGAGCCGTCCTGGCGGTTTGACCAATCTTCAGGACGGTCGTGTGGAACGCACATCATTGTGTTTCATTTTTATCACCTCGGGAGGCAGCGTTTTATTTTCCGGATGGGGACTCGTAACAGTGCGGGAGCAGTTGGTACGACGGCGAGCCAAGACGAGTCCAGCACTGTTGCAGGGTGCTCTCGAATCATGTGGCAATTTTCCCTTGCCAACCAAAGACAACATCCCCACGAACCATCTCTGTAGTCCTACCAGTGTCACGGCAAAACGTTGGGACACTGAACGTAGATGAACTTCATACTTACAAACGTGGGAACTCTGCAGTACAGGTGGGGTGTGGTGTCATGCAGTTGTCCTAGATACAGTGGAACCTCCATTATACAACTTTTGAGGCACCACGCTAAACAGTTGCATAATCCGCAAGTCGTATCATCCAAGAAAATGATAATTACGGATACAGTGATTGGCTTTGCGCAAAAGAGATGAATGGAGGTTTTAAATGATGTCAAGTGAATAACCTGCTGTACTTCAACGAAGCAAAAGCCGTCGGAACAAATTGAAACGAAACCGTAGAATTGTGCAGTAAAGGCACGAGTAACTTTATTCTCGCCTCAGAAGAAATCAGTAATCGCCTGCTGGACTTCCTTTTGCCGGCGTGCACGATTGCGACGATGGGATCCTTGTCGTTTTTACGCTTTCCGAATACGGGAATGGCGGGAACCAGCGGAAGCGTGCTTAATTCTGGGAGAAGCAATGAGTTGGAGAAAGTGACGCGCGGAGGGAGAGCGAGGGTAGACGCGAGAACGATTGGATGAGCGGACCAAAGACGCAACGCTAACGCTAAAATGCCGAGGCATTTCCCAACCCGGGGAGGAGAAGGGAAAGCGCTGTCTTTTGCTCCCTCCTGGCGCTGCAGCCGTCTTGGGTTGCCGGCGGTGTGTTTTTGAGACCTTCTGAAATGGCGCGCAAGCACTCGGAACTCTTCCTCATTGCCTTGCCGCCACCCCCCTCCTCATGCAGCCGGCAAATTCGTTACGCGTTTCCCACCGGAACGTCGTAGGACGCGTGGAATCTCGCGTCATGTGAACCAAACTTTTAATATATTATTTCTACGGGGAGTTAGCCTGTAAATTCATCGTAAAATGTGGGATGTTGCATAAACTGTGGACAAACAATCGAGGTTCCACTGTAGTATTCTGGAAAGCATGTGAGCGTCATCTAGACATTGACCACATCTTATCCATTGCCTTTCGGCAAACTTGGAAATGTAAGAGGCGTCCACGGCTAAGCCGTGAAGTCAGTCGGATGTATGTCGGGCCTACCCATGCTGCACAGCTCCCACGTATAGTTGTAACTATGTAGTTTGTTTTGTATCGCGCTCGGGTCTCGCATATTGTGCGTAGTTGGGCCACAGTCGGAACATTGGACAGCTCGGGAACCGTTCTGAACATCCCGTTTTCGCCAACCCGGCATTGCACTTTGGCCGACGCTTGCGAGCTGTGCCGGCCTGCGCTGCTGTACATAGCTGTAGAATATGTGTAAGACACTTTCATGTGTGGTCCCATTAGCAATGCCGGCCACTTTTCTCTGAGGGTGAAAATCGCATCCGCATTGTTTTAAATTATAATCAGCCTGGAATGTCCTGCCGGAGATGGTCTTCTTCCTGTATCATATATGGACGCACCTGTAGATACACAATTTTTCACTGGAGCATGCAAATCACACTTGGGACAGACTGGTGACCAATAAAACATACCCGCTTCTTTATTCTGATTTTTTGCGAGTTTGTTTCAATGCTTGCCTTTTGATCTTGTCTCTGCGAGTTGCTCTTGGAAGGACTGGCACATGGGATACACTTGCCATGGTTGGGACGTGCTGCTTCGAGTAAAAACTTGCAATTTCACAGCCAATAATTGGTTTTAAAGGGATGATAAACCCAAATTTGGATTAAAAAAAAAAAAAAAAACAATGCAAGAGATGTAGGCGGGACGCTACAATCCCTATAACACTACTCGCAAGGCGATATCTCGAATGGACGGTTGTATTTTTGGAAAAAAAGGTCGAGATTGAACGAGGACGACGAGGCGCGTGACGTCCAGATATCTCGTTTCCTCCTCTCTTCGCTTTGCCTTTTCAAGGCGGCGAGGCGGAGAACACGCGAGGCCGTCCCCTCTCCTCGGAGAAACAAGACGTAAACATATCGGTCAAATGCGCCTGCTTTTTTGAAAAATAGGTTCATCCGTTCGAGATATCGCTGTATGAGTGATGTTATGGTGCTTGTAGCATCCCGTTGTACGCTTTTGCCGCCGTGTTTTGTGGAATCCAGATTTCGGTTCAGCGTAAGTGTTCAATTCTTTTTAACGGAACCTCTAAATTTTGTATGTCCTTCCGTCCTTCCTGGCATTTCCCGCTAAATTTAGCAGGCAAATTGCCTGTTTAAATTCCCATGTCAGTTGAATAGTTCGCATTTTTTTTTTTTTTTTTCTCTCTAAGAGGTGTGAAACTACTGCTGCAAGGGCCTGCGTGTCACAGTGCTTTAAAAAGTGTTAAGAAGTTTGTGGAAAGCTGCCGGCGCGTACTGGAGAGCTTTGGGTAGAGATCACGGGATCGGAACACTACTACTTCACCAAACGAGGGCGCCCAGAATCAATGTTTATGTCCCCGTGCGATGTTTGGTTGTTTTTATCTTGTAGGTTGACAAAACTATGCTAACCTCGTCTTGTCACCCCTCTGAGGCGCACGGAAAGTTCAGTGATGTAATTGTCGCGCCATTTGCGCCAAAGTGCTTACCCTAATTTGCACCAACATCGCGCCAAAACTTGTTCGCATTAATGCCACTGCAAATATGATAGTCCGGGCCTCGCCACCCGGCCGGATCGTTGCGACAGGCTTTTGCGAGTTCTCAGAATTTTCCTATATGGCCTCAAATAACGTGCTACTCGATTTGATCTCTCAATCAAACACTGACAGTACTTGCGAAGGTTTCGCAGTCCCGTGTTCGTGTTCTGTTCTTGCAGGTTAGTTCCGTTGAGTGCGCTTCTCAGCGTGCACTGGTGTACTGCAGTAAAGCGACAACGGTGGAAATAGGCATCCCGATTTTGCGTGCCTTGCTTCGCCGCAGCGCGCCCGCGTGCTAAGGGGAAAGCACCCTTCCTGAGCTGGACGCTGCATTATCCTGGCGGCATCTTTTTTTTTTCCTCTATTAGAGATGTATCAAAGATACTTAGGTATATTGCAAGATTTATATGGACCCTTATGTGGGTCTATTTTTATGTCGAGTCTCGTCTAGTTATCACTCTTATATAGGTGGGAGTAAATGAAAACTACACTAGCAGAAGCAGCAGATCGAAGCTTTGTGATCTCTTTCGCACCAATGCCCTCATCGACTCCTTTTTATTCCCAATACGTCGTCCCAATAGAACCGCCTACCCACGATAATTTTTTGTACGCATTTCTTTTTTTGTATATATTTTGTTTCGTTCAATCATAATATTTATAGTGTTTGCCATTCAAACGAAGGAAAAAAAATGGTCGTTTTGTTAGCCACTTCTGACTCCAGGTAGGTGTGTCCCCAATTAAGAATATAAACCACTTTTTTTTTTTTTTGTGCGACGAAGAGGTGAAGTTACGAAGTACAACCATCGCTCAATCTATGTCATTCAGTCTATCCACCATTAAACTTTAAAAAAATAACTACGTCTTTTTTTTTTTTTTTTTTTTTTTTGCGATGGCGCTAGGGCGTTTTGGGTGCGTGTCCGCGCAGCCAGAGCACTCCAAAAGGCAACGACGCGTGTTAACGAGTTCAAGCTTCCGAAAGAGACGCCCTGTCGTTCTCATTTTATCGGTGTGTGTAGACAATATACTTATACTAGTCGATTATCATGCGGCAATCGACCCCGCAGTCCGTCATACTGCCCTCGTGCTAGTTGTCCGCTTGGGCGACAGATGGCGCCCTAGTCGAGAGGAAAAAAAAAGAAAGAAAAAGAAATGTCCGCTCCCTGGGGTTCCGCGGGGAAGAGGAACTGACAAGTCCCCGTGGCTTGGAGAGCTGCGAGCCTCTCGAAACAGCCCATCTTCGCCGAGATTTTTGTTTGTTTCGTTCCGATACACCGTCGCGGTGACTGTTTCCATCTCTGCTAGTGTTGGCGTACGGCCGAAGTTGCACACGGCAGGCTAATGATTAACACCTTCTGGAATCTCTGCCGCACCTGCCCCGTCCCGGCAGAAAGCAAGGTACGTAGAGCGTGCGCGATCGCTCCCCCCCTTGACGCGGTCTTCGCTGCACGCCTCCTAGGCCTAACGGCGAAGCCTTCGCTAGGAGGGCCGCCGCCGAGGGTACGGCCTTGCATGGGCGGTGGTGGTTCTCGGGCAAGCGTGGGAAGTGCCTGCGCCCGTTGGGTTCTGAGAGGCGGTTTGGCCTGTCCTGGTTCCGTTATCTTGGATTGGCGAAGAACGGGCGCGATTTGAAACGTAGGCTACGCTGGGAGTGCCGCGATTTGCGGGGGCGGCGTACTGTCGTCGAAGTCGTCGTGTGTGTACGCGTATTTGTAAACACGAGTTTTGTTTATACCTGCATTGCTAACATTTGCTTGTTTTTTTTTTGTTTCTTCCTTACTACCTGTGTTTAGACAATGAACTCTCGTCTTGCCTGTTTTCTCTCGTGTTCCGTAGCGCAAAACGTTTTCTAGTTACCATATAACATCGTCATGCGTACCTACGTTTGTTTTTCTTCATATTTCAAACTGTATATTTTTTCGCTTTTTTGCATACTTACCACAAATTTACGAAAGAATATAACGAAATAGATAAGCAAATTGGCACTTTTTAGAATCCATGATCTTTTTTTTTTTTTTTTTTTTGCTATATTATTTATCTTTACTCCACACGGTCCATTTGTTGAAATGATCACCGGCGTTTCTATATTTCTCATTTACTTCTATTCTGAATGCCGAGTGCCGCTTAAACAAAAACGTAACAAAATATATATATATCCCGACAGCTCCCAGCGGCCCATTGTCCTAACCATCAGCCATGGCGCGTGCCAATAACCTCGACCACAAGCGATACGTCATGTAAAGGCGCACCCCTCTCAGTAGCCGGCGCTCAATATAGTGCACTACGCACGTAGAATCGAACGCGTCGTTTGATCGGTCTGGTGGCTCGCACTCTAGCTGTACGTCATGCAGGTTTCTCCCGCCGGGTCGGGACATTGTAGTGGCGCTCGTTCCATTAACCCGAGCAAGAAACCACGAACTCAAACAGCTCTCACACAGTCCGCTGTGTAGAGGTATGGTAGCGGGAAGAAGCAATTTGTCTCTTTACGGCTACCCAAACGGAAAAGCAAAGGCCCGGTATTACTTTCTCCAAAACAAAGGAGCGCGTTTTTTCTGGTTTTCTGGGAATTAGGAGTGATGATGGCGAAAATTTGCGAAGGCGGCCAAGAACGGGTAGGTCGCAGGTCTTGTTTTTTTTTTTGTAAACAAAAACGGGAAGTTCACTGACGAGGAGAAAATGCGGCGCGTGGGAAAGCAAAACGCAGCACATGCAGACGACATAAAAGCAGCGTCTTCTGCGCAGGCGCACTTATGTTGTCTGCTCCCCTCACTCAACGCGTCGTCTGCTCGAGCGGGGGATGGAACAAGCGAGGAAATGTGGGGCACATTTTGTATGTTTTTTTCTTTCCTTTGTTGACATTTGTTTTTCGTTTATTTATAATAGCTTTCGCGAATTTTCGTTCTTCTTTATCGAAAAATCCGGGTAGGGACACCGTGAAACCGGAAATGGATGATGCATCGCAACTCTTGGAGCTTGGCTCTCTGCCGCGGTATTTCAAGCACTCGAAGCACTTTCGAGAACCTTTTTGGATATGTGACAAACTGGCCTCTTACATTTGACTGCGCAAAAAGCGCCTCGCTCAAGCTACCGACGACTTCTAAAATCGGAGGAGCACTTCGTACAGTAACGGTGTTCTAAGTTCGGCTCTTCAGCCAAGCATCGTAGATTAATTCTCCTGCTTGTAACAAAGACGCTCCTAAAATGCCCTTCACACACGTAGATTGGCGAAAAGGCTATAGCAATTAAACGTTCCAATATGGTGTTTGTTCTGTAGGCAGGAGTTATGAAGTTTATTGTTTACAATATACGCATTTTTTTAATACAATAAACAGAAAGGAAAAAAAATAACGCGTGGTTGATAATGATTTTAAAAGCCTGCAAATAATGCAAAACAGAATGAAAAAAAAAATCGCTAGCGCACTCTCACTAATCATTCCAAAGGTCCTGGAGGAAAAAAAAGAAAAAGTTTGAGAGGCAAAGTTGAACTTGCGCGTTTTTAAAGCTCTTTCTCCCGTTTTGTTAAGAACAAGTTTCGATTTTTCTGACATCTTTGCACCGGGTACGTACCTGCGCTGTTTATTTATTTATTTATTTATTTTTCCCCCGATGAACGACATAATTTTAAAGTTAAATAACTTTAGAAAGGTAAGTTTCGAGTTTGTTAAGGAATTCTGACTGAAGAAGTAACCGAGTTAGGAGGGGCGTGTGGACACACTTCGTTCGTTCACGTTCTGCGTCGAGAAAAAAAGAAAAAAAAAGGTTGCGCGCAGAAGAGGAGATGTCTAGCCCGAGGATGAACATGTAAAAGTGCGACAGGGAGGGTAACTGGATTAAGTCAGTCCACGTACGTGCAGTGCCGTGCCCAGTACGCTTGCCTGCGTGTGTGGCGGGCATCTTTCTTTCCGCCGTCGATTACTCCGGAATCGATGGGGCGGCCTTGCGTGACGCTGCTACATTGCCGCACGCACACACACACACAACTACACCCGTAGTATGCCTCGTTGCCCGTAAACATCACGACGTTTGTTCATAGTGGCTGCGACTTTGTCTTTCCATCAAAAACGCTGCAGATGAAAAAAAAAGGACAAGTTTTATTTTTAGTCGTTAGTTTAGGGCGTAAATTTTGTTGAATCGTTCGTTTTGTGTGATATTTCGTACTGTATTTAGAATGCACCGTTGTATTAAGGCGAAATGCTTATATGCCCCATTATGGGAAAAGGAGCCGTCGCCGTTGTGCCCGAAAGATGGCCATAAAAATACGCCATCAAGCACGCGCCGCTCAAGGTTAAGCGGACGGGCCTCATAAATAAAACACAAAGGAAAGCGCAGCAACGCAGATGCTTCGTCACGGAAGCCGTGGAGCCGGCGGGGGCGCCGCGCCTGCGCACTGGGGATGCTTAATGTCACTTCCGGGGCGCCGTGTGCAAAAGGAAGGCGTGGCGCGCTGCCTCCGGCGCGTCAGTTGCACTTCGGACTTCCTCTGTGCTCGTTGTGTGCTTCGTGCGATGGACTGTGAGGCGACCGCGTCTACATCTACGACCTCGACATCGACGATATCGGCAGAAACAACTTTTTAATACGTCTAGAAACAATACTCAATAATATTTCACCCGCGGGATTATTACGCTTTCGCATTCCTACACGTGTTCAGTCTTAAGTGTTTAAAGGTGAATTTTTTTGCCACCCTTGGGATGTCATCAAACGAGGTCGCCGTATTTGTGAAAGGATATGTAAATACGTTTTGTTCTATCGTCGGTTCAATATGGAGCGAATCGGTTTCATGATCCGATGAGATGAAATTTCCCGCAAAACGGAATTACGTGGTAGAAGTATGGTTTATTTAAGTTTCAACGTTAATCATAATAAAACAAAAACTATGTTCTTTTTGTGTTTTTTTTTTACGGTTTTACTAGATTTTTCGCAAGACAAACACACGAGACAGTAAATTAATTTTAAGGTTGCTAAGGTGCGTTTATATCCGCGGGAATACCCGTCGTCCTTATTTCTTACAATAAAAATGTTAATTTTCTCTCTCTCTCTCTCTCCCTCTTTCCTTTTTCTTCTAAAAAAATAAACGTCACAGCAGCCCCGATTTCGACTTTACCTCAGCATCATTTGGGTAACCAGGCGCGCCGAAATTATAAGAAAAATAGTACTTCTGGTTCCTATTTATGTCGTTGTAAAAATTACAGTGTGTTAGGCGAACCGACTAGGTATACGTAGTGAGCCTAATCAATTTAATAATCAGTTAAAGCTCTACAACTTTTAGGGGGTCGGACTCGGAGCTTTAAAACGAACTATCAGGTGAAATGTCGTCAAAGGTACTTGCTCTACTGGGTATAGTCATAATCCCGCGACGCTATATTCGTTCGCGTCGTTGTAAATCAATGAGTACAAAAAAAAAAAAAAAAAAAAAACTTTAAGCTAAATTGTGTTTTGAAAAGGTGTCGTGTGGCGATCGAGGAAGAAGGCCAAAACGTTTCGGAACCTTTTTGTTTAAAAGTGCTTGTTCTCTCCTAGGCCGGTCTCTCTCTCTCTCTCTCTCTCTTTCTGGTATCCCAGAAAACTTTCACCAAACTTTACAAATAAACGGAACGCTCTGCGAGAGTGAAACCAACTGCATGCTATGTAAAAGCGTGTTAGGAAAGTGCACAGTTTTTTTTTTCAGTGCGCTTAGTGAATTTGTTGGTTAGCTGTCTTTTTAATTATTCGTTAAGAGCCGAATTGTGAATAGCAAAGTTGTACTGCGCGCTTCTTTTTATTAGCCCTAAAAACGCAATAAATAAATAAATAAATAAATAAATAAATATATATATATATATATATATATATATATATATATATATATATATATATATATATATATATATATATATATATATATATATATATATATATAACACGTGATAACGCGCCCGCGCGTCGCGCTTGCAGTTCTTTGAGACGTGTTTTGAAAGAACGAAGTCCACCTTATCTTCGGGATCTCGGAGGCCATGACCTTATCTGAAGGAACGCGTTGTCACGTGGCCTTTTTTCTATATTTGGCGGCCTTTTTTTCTAGGCTAATAAAAAGAAGCGCGCAAAGCGTATCATGTACAATATTGATAGCGCTAGATTTATTTGAAATTCTGCGCGCAAATTTCATGACGTCGCGGAATGGTCATTCGCTCTTTCGACCTCAACGAGGTGGTCATTCGCTCTTTCCACCTCAGAGTGAAGGCGAAGCCGATCCACCTCTCCTCCACATGCCCGAAATGCCGAGAGAAAAAACAAGTGGAAAGGAAGTGACTACCTACTACATCGCGTTTAGCGCCGTCAATATTGCCCCCCCCCCCCCCCCCCCCCTTTTTTTTTTTCGCGTAAAATTAATTTTTTGGCACGCGTGTCTTATTAAAAAGTAAATACGTCCAACTTGTATAACAATACCAGCAATCTATAAGTAGACGTTTCGTCTCCTATGCGGGAGACATCATCAGTGCAGCCTAAGAACACCCGACTAGCCACCAGCAACCAAACGCTTCCGTTTGGTTGCTGGTGGCTAGTCGGGTGTTCTTAGGAAGAAGATAGAGAGAGAGAGGGTTGTTGTCGTTTTTCGACTTAATATAAGTTCAGATGCGAAGCTTAGAAAACAATCGAGGCTGTGTTTTGACTTATAATTTCTGTAATCGTTATGTGCACGTTGAAACGTTATCGATAGCTTTGCGCCTAAACACCATTTGTAATTTTTTTTTTCTAATTTAGTTTCGGGAGCACTTGGTTTTGCTTGTCACGTTGCCAGTTAATTACAGAAGGCGACGAATTCAAATTGGAAACATAGTCACGCAACCTACAATGGGAGGTTGGGAGGGGTTGGTCTTGATTAAGTTTGAAAGATTCTGAGGTTGATGAATGACACAGATAGACGGAAGGGCCTTTGTCCTTGTATAATGAAATAATTGAGATGATTGTGTAAAATATGCAAGGGTGATGCTGCAATTTACTTTCTTATACATACGAAGCTACATTCCTCTACTGGCATGACATTTATACGTTCTATTAAACGTTGGACCTTATTTTAGTGTTTTCATTCTTTGTTCATTTGATGTGGAAACAATTCCTAATGTGTATTCTTTTAAGCTATTTTTAGTGATTTCTTTTACATAAATATGCGCATTGTCACGCCAATGTAATGCCTAAATTATTTATGCGATTATTAAACCGCATTTCAGGCCCATGCAGGGCATTGCATAAAGTGTCGGTTACTGTTTTTGGAATAGGTTTGTTTTATAACGCCGTGTTTTAATTTTATAAATAATATATCAAGTAGGAAGAAAGAAACGTAACAAGGTGCCAACTATTTTTGAGTTCTAAAAAAAAAAAAAATGCACGCATAAAAAAAAAAAAAAAAAAAAATCCGGAAAAGAAAACAACAACTGAGTTTGATATTTTTTAAAGTCACGTTTCCTTACCAGGCGACCTTTTTTTCTTTTGTTATAGACTAGGTATTTGAGGTAAACTCCATTTGGGCAGAGCCTGAGTGTCCCATATTCATTGCGTAATACAGGCCCCTAAAATAGAGTGCGAAAATGAATGTCGACTGCCTGAAGAGCGTGCTCTGCCTACCATGCTCCCGAGTACTGCGGAGAAGTGAAACGATAGAACGCCGTTGTTAGGGCATTTTTCTTCTCTTTTTTTTTCTTTTTTTTTTTGTATTGGTTTTGTATTTTTGTTGAACCCAAGACTGCGTTAACTTTAGCGAATTATGCATTATCTAGTAAACCCAACAAACTCTCTCTCTCTCTCTCTCTATATATATATATTTTTTTTTTCGGGGGGGGGGGGGGGGGCGGGGGGGGGGGGCGGGGGGGGGAGGGGGGGGGGGGGCTTAGATATACGATCTTTCCCAGTCTCGAGAAACGATAAATAAATAGATTCAAAAATAAATTGTACGAAACTCAGAAACTTAGGGTTTTAAGTACAAAAATTAAAGTTTAAAGTTTAATTTTTGTTAAAAGTTAAAACAATCTGAAGTGGTTTAATAAATACATTTTATTTTGAAATTCAATGTTTAGTTCATTATGGCATTATACAATAATTTTGAAACACGAGGAATTTAAGGCACACTCTGAGAAGGTGAAATTTAAAGACACCCTTTTGTTAGTTTATAATTTATGTATTGACGCTAATGACAGTCGATTAACTGAATGTTTTTACGGACCCTTGTAATGTCTGGCGGACGCCCCCGCCTAAAATAATCGTTGTGTCCTTGTGGTTTAGCTCAGCGGAGGGGTATGTTACACAAGGGTTGCGCAGGTGAACTGGTGCGTCGCAAACACAACTGAAACCTCAGACTACGGGGAGAGATGAAAGGCATATACAAAGACGCACACACACACACACACACACACGTATGTGCGTGTGTGTGTGTGTGTGTGTGTGTGTGTGTGTGTGTGTGCACCTTCTTTTTATGTCTATACTCTTTCTTCCGTACGGTAGTTATAATTATTCTTCATAGAGTTGCCGGTGCCACTGGTTAGAACGTGACATTTATGACTGGCAAAGCGTTTTTCCTTTTCGAAGAATTATTTTATTTCTCAATAATAGAGTAAAATTCAGGGAGACACGAAGATTGAACCGCCGGGCTCGCGTTGCAGAAAGACGTTGGTTGCAGACGACGCGAAAGCCGCGGCGAGAGATGCGCGAGAAAATCCGAGAGCCGCAGCCGACAGGACGCCTGCCGCCATCTATGAAAGACCCCGCGAAACACGGTCTACTGTTTTTCTCATTTTTTTACCCCGTAGACACTATTTTTCGGGCGTGACTTTTACCGCTTTTACCCATTTAAGACTTTACATCGTGCCTTTTTAAAAACGAACGGGACCAATTCGGGTCAAGTTGGATCGATCTACGACAACCTCGTAAGTTTTTGCCATCTTTACTTCAAAAGCTCCCATTTCCATGGCAGCGCCGTACCGTCTGTTTCGTAACATGTTCGCGGATCGAGAGGAGGCGGCGTTGTCCTGATCAAAAGTCCGATCTCGTCGAAAACGATCATCTATGGTAAAGTATACCATCCTTTCATCCGAATATTACAGCGAGAGAGCCCGAAACGATCGTTTTCCGATCGCGAATTAGGCTAAACGAAGCGCTCCACTTGCTTCCGCCGTAGCGTTTGCCAGCGTGCTCATTTCCGGCACCTAGCCAACGCTCCGGCGCTTGTTAGAAGGGAAATCAGCATCGTTTTTTTGGTTTGTTTTTTGTTTTTGTTTTATCCTGTCCTTGTTTACAGATGAGTGACTCCGCATGTAACGAGAAAGTAGCCGTCGCTACACGCCGTGCACGATCTCGGTGGGGGATGGTACTAGGCCAAGGCAAACACCCCTGCCTCGGTCGAGCTGCAGCCGTTGTTGTGTTATGATGGGGACTTCCTTTCCTGGGCCATTTTAGGCACTTCCAGTCGATAATGAGCTCAAACGTAACAGCTTGTCTCGTACCACAGAAAAGGGCCCTTAATGCTGCTCTTTTGTGTCGTGGAACTTCGTGTTGCTTGCTTGTTCTTCTTTTTGAGCGTATTTTAAGGGTAGTCAATCGCTTCCTTCCGTATACGAGCGTTTAATATTCTGCCTAGAGGAAAGTTACTTTTTTTTCTTTTTGTCTTTAGAGGGTTCGCACACGTTGTAAAGCCGTTGGTTGGGTACGCCGGCAAGCGCTTCTTTTGCTTCATATTCGTTGAATTTCCCATCTGCCGTTCCAAGCAGTCTGGATGCATGCTTACATAAAAACGTAGCAATCAGGAAAATACCTAAGCTGTACACAGCTGCTTATGAAGCTGCGAGAGGCAGAAAAAAACAGACCTCCAGTGTCGCACATGTTCCTTCGTAAGTTCAACCAAAATACTTTTTTTTTTTTATTGTACCACATGTTTGTCGCAACGAAAAAAAAAAAAAAATCGACTTCCTTTATTTTATAACACCTTCTAGAGCCTTACAATATCTTCACATTGATATGTGTACATAACTTCGACCCCAAAATATGAAATTGATAATAAAAAAATAAACTTATCAATGACATAGAGTCCTGTGTGCTCCTCTCCGTGTATCACTTGCAAGAAATCCTGTTGACACTGTTTCAATGTCCAGCAAAAAGAAAACAGATTGGTTTTCCTCATTTGTTTTAGCTCACCTTCTCTATTCCGGCATCTAATGTGAGCAACATGTGCATGCACCTTTTACTAAAATAGAATTGAAACTGTTTTTCTACGTATGGAGGGCTTGACCTGTACTCGTAGGGCAGATCTTATCACTTTGCATCATTCTTCTAGCAAGGGTTTATGGGCGCTTCTTTTCTCTCTCGCTCCCCAGTTGCACGCAGAATACAAGCGGAGCTTTGCCTGGCAGCCGGGCCATCCAGAGTCGGCAGCCGATGTCATTGTGAAGCCGCCAGATGCCACTTGTGAGTTGCCAATTCCTTCTGCCGCCACCAAACCCTGAGCCACAGCTGTGCTGCGTGATGTGTACACTACATACTACAACGTTGATCATCACGTCAACTTTTTCTGCATTGGCAGGCTTGTGGAAAAAACAAAAAGTCAACTTTCTCCACTAGAGCCTTTGTTGTATGCATGTTTGTTTTGCAAGCTCAAGTTCACCTTGGTCAAAATTTATCTGTCATTTGAAACACCAGTCTGCACCCTCCTGAAAATAATATAGAATCGAGAAGCTTTACCGTAAAATGTTTTAAACACAAACAGAAATAATAACTTCTTACATTCTCCTAATTTTTTTTTTTTTTTTTGTCTTCGAAATTTTGTTAGGTAAAAACAGAATGAGATTCATTTTATGTTCTGGAACAATTAAATTTGAAATCGAATAATTTAAAGTCGATGGATACATAAATTCCTCTGACAATACTTTTGATTCTGTTTCAAGTCGCGTCAAAATGGATGTGTAAAAAAAAAGTGGAGCTTACATTGACAAGATAAAAAAAAAAAAAAGTCTCGCAAAAAAAAAACACAAGTGTCGTTGATGACAAACGAACGGTCACCATCTCAATCGTGGCCCTCATTTGCCGAGGCAATCGCTTACAAACAAACAAGTTTGCAAGGCCAAAACTCGCAGCACCTCGAACATAAAGACACGGCTGCGACGCCTACGGCGTTGCCAATCGGAATTCCGGTAACCGCCTGCATGCTTGGCTAAGCCCTCAGCAGTACACAGACACCTATTTGCTGCAGGCGGCAGGCTCGACGTTCCGACTGCCACCGCACAATGGCCCAGAGGCGGCGGGGCATCTGTCGTCAGTCGCGCTTGGTTAATCGCTCTGCTCCCCACTGCGCTTCAGTCTGTTTGTGTCCCTGGGTGTTGCCGGCTCGTTCGTGCTAAACCTCTCACCTTGCTCGCCTGGGCTTGTTGGGGGGACATTCTTCCAAGTATGGATTTCATTAGGCGAGGTGGGTGCGATTGTTGTCGGCCGGCCGAGAGGAAGGATGACCGCTGGCTCCACTCGAGATTTCCTCGTCATTTTTTGTGACGCGCGTTCCAGCACTTTGTTTTTTCTTTGTTGTTGGCGTTTCTGTGAAAGTGTTGCAAGCTTCCTTGTCTGTCGAATTGTCACTGACTCAGTGGGTGTTATTTTGGTTTGATATTTTTGTTTAACTATTTGAAGCTCGCACAATTCGAGGCAGCGTTAGATGTTTTTGTGGCTCTTTCTCTAGAACAAAAGGCATCTGTAAGTGAGGAATTGTCTGGATTCTCAGAAACTGTCTGGTACAGTTGGTTTTCAGTTGTCCTTGATGCTTTGTTAAGCACTGCCTAACTAGATGTTAAGCTGTGCTTAACAAAGCATCGAGGACAACTGAAAACCAACTGTACCAGACAGTTTCTGAGAATCCAGACAATTCCTGACTTACAGATGCCTTTTGTTCCAGAGAAAGAACCACGAAAGCATCTAACGCTGCCTCGAATTGTGGGAGCTTCAAGTATGTAAACAAAAATGGAGAATGCGGAAAGAAATTCTGCTTCACAGATCTTGTATTGAGCATGAACTGATATCGGATCTACAGCCAGACGCTTGTGTTTTCAAAAAGGGCTTTGGGTATAATTCCCTTTCCATCGAGGCATAGTCATAAAATTAAACCTTAGTTTCACTGGTAAGGAGGAGGTGGTAATGTGGTAGGCATCAGCTTTAGTCTGCTGGTTGGTGGTTGGTGCCTCCCAGTCAGGGTTGGCCAGAAATACCCCCACAAAATGCATGTAAAAATGCAAATACTGGGATGCATATCAGTGACAGCTAAAACACTAATACTCAAGTACATTTATATAAAAAAAAAGAGTATCATGACAATATAAAATATACATTTAAAAAATATGCGCAAAATATCTTGAAACGCAAATATTGCAATGCATTTTTCTGGAGCAGTTGTACTCGTACTAAAATGCCTATATAGTTTTAAAACTATTCTAGATATTTTCAGCACTAAATGTGTGCATGCACTAGTGAAAATGATGAAAGAAGGATTAGCATGGTTCACAATTACTCTAAACAAATATGCAAGATGCTTCTTGGAACCAACATACTAATGTTCACTGTAAGACGCAACTAGAATTTCAATATTGACGCTTTGGGACCCAAATTAAATTTCCCACACGGGTCTTGAATGGGTTGAAAAGAATTTTCTATCGAGAATGGAGCTTGCTTTTTTATTTTTGGCATCTTCAATCTTCTGGGGCAAAATCAAGTGGACCTTTAAATCTGTTTCGTGTCCTCCTAAATTACCTCCACACCTCAGCATGCTTTTGTCAGATCTGGGCGCCTCTTTGGACAGTGATCTCATGGTGTCATGGTGGAATCAACTGCTGTTATCTTATCTGTTGGTTGGATCTGCATATAGAAAGTTCCCCACCCCATGTACATGGGAAGGCAATGTAAAGCTTAAGCCTTTTCAACATTTGAAATCTACAAGAGTAATTGACTACCTAGAGCATAAACGTTTGGTATCTTTGCAGAATCATGTATGGTCAGGGATAAAATCTTGGGTATGAACCTTGGTCTGCGTGATTACAAAGCCTCAGCATCCCTTGAATAGCACCTCTCCATCTGTCTCAAGGAAAAGCTAGATCTTTCGTTTGGAGGGCAGCAATTCCTAGCAAACTGTAACAAGATACATCAACCCCTGATTGTACAGTGGTACCAGGAGTGCAGCCGAAAATGTACTTCACTACTAAAATACAACTACTGCTGAAACTTTGTTTGCTAATACAGAGATACAAACACAAAATGTATTAGTGATATGCTATCGCAAAACGAGTATATTGCAATACTGTCCAACCCTGCTTCCTGTGCACTTGCTTATTTCCATTTAATTTTTCTTTTTTTTAAGATTTAATATTGACAAGAGCAAGTACTATACCTTCTACAGAAATGATAGGTTTGTGCTCTCGGAACTCCACAATGCAGTAAATTCATCCCTTTCAAGTAAAAAAATAAAATAAGGTATAAAAATTTTAACTACACTGTGCGAGACAGATAACAGATATAACGCCATCATTGTTTTTTACCATTTCACTCCGGTTGGGTATTTACAGACAACTGTAGGTTTATTTGCCAACCAAGTTGGTGTCCTGGATAGGCGCATTCCACTGTACTGGTAGTTTTGACAACAGCATTTCTCTAAGAGCAGCAATCGTTTGCTCGTGCTAACTGTGTCTCACTCTGTCCATGGTCCATGCTGCAATTTGTGTTAGGCTGTGGTTTTGCACGGCCTCAGTGTAACACATTGCGGTGTGGCCTGCAGCAAGACTTAAGCTTCAGCATTATGCACACCGCGAAACACTTCCTGTTCGAACAACTTTGCCCAGACATCGAGCGTGATGGGGCAAGTTGTCAGGGCTCGGTTCTTTACGCTGAAGCTATAATCTGCAAAGTGGTTGTGACAACTGGTGATTAAAAAGTCTAATTTTATTTTGTAAATTTGAGTTATACGTTTTAAGATTTGGCAAGGGTTGTGCTAATAAGGGGGGGAGGCAGTATCCCTCTTCATTGTCAACTCTTCCTACGGTCAGGTTCGTTGAAATGTCACTGTTGCAACACATGTCAGGCAAACAGCAAGCCGCGCTAGGGGATGTTGAAGCATTTGTCGTAGTGACCGTCACATGTCACATTGTTAGCATACCCTTTGTTGCTTGTATGGTGATGGAATGTATGGTATTCAGCAGGTGTGTAACTTGGCACCATTCTTGCAAATTCTTTTGTGCAAGGATATGCTCTTACTTGCTGCCCTGCCGTATGATGTACTACCTAGTGCTACAAGGGAGGTGGAGTTTTCCCTCCGCTAACGTGCGGGTCGTCTCATTTTGTCTTATTGTGAACAGTATGGGTAGGGTACATGAATGCAGCAATCTCTCACACCCTTCTTATTGTGCGTCATCACCAGTACCATATTTCCTCGAGCGCTATACATGCATTAGTCGTGCAAATGCTGCAGGACAGGATCCTGTTTGCTATGATACACAAATAATTTTCATAAGCTGAGGAAGCTTGTTTTCTAAGATGGAAACTTGGGTTACTTGGTTATCAATATTTAAGGATCTGCAGTACAAAATACAAACACGAGCAGAAAGAACACACTACAGCGCTGACTGTCAAATGAAGTTGATTGATACAAGGCCTGGTTTAAAGAAGAAGCAGATTCTGAAAGCATAGAAAAAAAACACATGATTTACAAGAGGTGCCTTGCTAGCATTAATGATTCCTTCCCGATAGAGATTCAATCTCTTTCCCTGATAACGATAAAAACTGAGTGCTGATGCATTTGTCTGTTAACTCTGCAATCAATCTGGTTCAGCCTCGATTATCTCCCTGGTGGGCATTCCTGCCGATTGTTCTCGGGGAAAGAGATAGAATATCTAGCGAGAAGGAATAGTTGATACCAGCAAAGGAACTTTTATGAATCAAAGGTGGTTGTATTTTTTGTGTGACAGAATTAATGTCTTTGGTATTTATGCTGGGTGTCATGTCAACATACTTCAGATGTACTCTTTCTGTCCATATCCATTTCTTGTACTGTATGCCATTAAACTGTGGTCTAATTGATGCATCTAGGTGTTGAATGAAACTGTTTGGTCAAGCATCAAAAAAACCATGTTAAAGACTTCTTTTTTTTTTGTGACATGCAATGATCTAGATCATGTTTCACAGCAACAGCCTGTGCGGCCAGATTGTAGTAATAGGAAAATGAATATTGTTTCAAGTGCGTTGCATCCATCACTATCTTTTCTCGAGTTAATATTTGGGAGAAACATGTCATAGGCAATAGGACTTCGTCATGTTATGTGTGGTAAAGAGATGGTAACTTGCTTCGTTGAAAAAACTTTGTGAATGCTCTTATGTTTTGTATTCTCTTCGAAAGCTATTTTGTTGAATTTGGTGGGCACCAGAAAGTATGGTGAAATGTAAATGGTGAAAGAATTCAGTGGAGATATGAGTCAGTCGCTGCGTAGCGATTGGACGGACTTAGGTATGGTTGTTTTAGCCAATAAACACCTGTGAACCTGTGAAGGTAGTCACAAAAATCTAATCTTCAACAAAGATTTAAAAAAAAAATATATTACCATGCACACAATGGGCCTACGAACCAGCTATGGTACAAATTTAATGTTTTAAGGTTAAACTGTGGGATATTCGACAAAGTTGGGATATCTTCGCGACCAAGTGTTGATGGGTTCCAAGTGCCTTTCTAAAATTTCCCGAGTCTGCCGAAGTGGAACAAGCGTGTGAGTCGCTAGCAGTGGCGGCCCTGATCAGTCTATGGGAGAGGCGTCTGGCCGGTATGCTGAGGTGACCATAGGCGTGTCCTTTCTTTCAGCATTGGAACCAGCACTTTCAAGGAGGAAGAAGCACCCGGAGATAGCGTATCGCACGAGCGAGATTTTGGGCTGTGACGGAGGGCGCCAGACAAACACCTCGGCGGACGCAGCGCGGCGTGGGGACGACCCCTACTTCAGGGCAAGGGTGAGTGACTTGCTCCCTTCATCGTAACACTGCAGGGGAGCTAAAACAGTTCTTCGTCTTTCGCTTGGCGGAACTCTTGGTTTCTGCAAAAGTTGCGGTCCAAACTAGTAACAGAACGCCAAGTTTAGTAGGCCCCATTCTTCGAAATGTATCACAGATCGAGAGATGACGGAGCATGAAGGGGGACCACAGACGCAGAGAAAGGCTGGGTTGGGTGTTATTGTCTTGTGTGGCTTACTGGCAGATATGGATGGATACTAATAGTTATACCCTTTGTAACGGGCGGCAGCTTGCGCCACCTTGCCTAGATTGATTGATTTAGTTTTCTACCAGTGTTGCCAACTTGAAAAGTCAAAAACTCACTAAAGAAGTGCCGAAAAAAATGCTACAAACTGATAAATTTAAGGCGCTGGGCAAAAATGAGTTTTATCATAATTTACTACTGTTTCAATTAGTAGTCTAATGTAGTGCATTAAACAATAAAAAAAACCTTAAAAATTAGCTTTTCAGTGTGCCTCCACGCACAGGACAATGTCCACTGCAAGATCTTACTGTTACCAGGATTTACCAGGCCTGTTGTCTCGCCACACTTGGCACCTCAGATCTCGAGTGACTTAATTCGCGTGCTTTGCGGGACATTCTAGTTTGTAGTGGAGGTATCTGTCTTGCCTGACATTACTTGGAACTTCCAGTAGCCAGTTCCAAAGCCCATAGCCTCCATTTTTTTTTTAATTGTTGCGCATAGTAGCACCAGGCCCATGTCGTCTACCAGACTTGGAAAACAAATTCATGCATTGATGCACAAAAAAAGTTCAAAACATGTTTCAATAGTTGCTGCGGTAATATCTCAACGGCGTCGCAAGTGTTATTCTCACTGGCAATTAAGCTATTTAAGCTATTTACGATTGGTAAATGTGAACTAGAGAGCATTTTCGACCGCCAGAAAAAAACTCCAAGATGACTCGAAAACCGCTAAAAATCCCGCCCACCACAAAACACCAATTTCTTCTGCCAAACAACTCGAAAAACTGCTGAACTGGCAACATTTTGTTTTCCTACAACTGAATCATGTATCTGCATGAATGCCCTTCTTGTCTTCCCCGCCGTGCTGCCAGTGCTCCAGTTCGTGGTTTTGTGGGATTGTTCTGGGTCTGAAAAGCAGAGACTACAATCGCTCTGCCTGCAGGCCATCTGCATGTGTTGCTTTTCCAGCCAGCTGTAGTGTGGCGTTTGGAGATTTCTTTTCTGTTTCTACTGGCGAGGTTCAGCGGCGGATCCCGCATGTGTTTCTCGTACGTCGTGGTCCGCTAAATTTAGCAGGAGAATTTCTCCACGAAATTTAGTGGGGAATCATGGTGTCGTTACAGTGCGACGTCACAGTGTCACGTGATGTCGCGTCGCGCGACATCACAATTTTTTCGCTAAATTTAGCGAGGAAAGGTGTTCAATAAATTTAGCGAAGAAATTCTTCTCCTAAATTTGTTGGGAAATGAATCGCTCTGCTAAATTCAGTGGATTCCTTGGTCCCAGGCACGCATATATGTCACTTCGGTTGTTGAGCCTGTGTTAGTTTGTGGATTTAACCTGAATTAAGAGCAGCTTTTGCTCATACACCAATGTAGCACTGCTATGAGCTAGCCTGCTCTGAAGGCCCAGTCAGCTGTTATGACTTGCAAGCTCTCAGTGTGAGATGACCTGAATTTACCCAGTCAGTGCCACACTTTCATGTTGCTACAGACTGGTCAGAATCTTTTACAGAGACTGATATATATTGAACAGTCAACAGGTCTCATGGTTGCAGTTTCACAGATTTGTAAAGCTAGGTGGCTTTCTTCTCTTTTGTCCTCGGCTCTCGTGATGATCCCACAAACTCATGCAATGTTTTTTTGTTGTTTTTTTTTGTTTTTGTTTTTAATGAGGACATTTGGTTAGGAGGATAGAAATTTCTAGCATTGATCTACCATTAAGACCCGTAGGGAATTAAAGAGCCAGCAGTGAGTGGCTTTGGCTTAGTTTTTAGAAAATTGAAAGGAATTGGGAATAGACTATATACCTAAAAGAATTTGAGTATGAATAGTCACACATTAAGTATGCGTTGGACATTTTTTTAGTCTGGTTTCCCTGTCGCCTATCGGTTTTGGATGCTGTTCGGCAGTGGTCACATTTGTACATGCCTTTCCTATCACGCACTCTGGCATTAGCAGCTAGGACACATCAACTTTTGAAAATGGTTTATTCCAGTTTACAAAAACATATCAAATGTTCCACATAAAAGAAGAAAAAACAGTCCAGTTATTAAAGGGGCCGTGCAACAATTTTCAGACTTTGGCCAATTAACTGCAAAAATTAATCTGATTCACCCATAGAATGAAATATAGAAAACCATATTTTTTTGCGAGTGCTACATTTTATGTAAAAAAATGAAACAAATTGAAGGTCGAAGTGCCTCTCAACTCTCCACGTTGCCTTTCGAGTGACATACTCTGAGGGATCACGTGGTTTACCCTTGGGTTCTCTCTTCAGAGACCTTAGCCGCTTCCTCCGCGATTATTGACTTTTAAAGGATTAGCATCATCGAAGGTTGCGGCGAGCGATCTACACAAAAGACGGTTCGTCACGGGGTCGACGGCGAGTGTAGCAGCGGAGTGGGACAGGTTTTGTTCACTTCCGTATATCCCCCAGAGTACGTCACACATGAGTTCCGTTAACCACCACAAGCGGCTGCAGATCGGCAAATATTTTGTTTTCCTTTTCGCAATTACGCGCCGGAATAGCAATTTTTCGGGGCAAGGTGACGCGTTTTTGGTCATTTGTGCTCAGATAAACAATATAAAAAACTACTAACTGCCAATTCTTTCAACAGTAAAATCGTTGCACTATCCCTGTAACATTTAGATTTGTGAAATTCTTGCTTCAAAAGAACACCTGATATTTCTCTCCCCTGAAGATCTTTGGTGACTTATATTTGACTTTTTTTTAGTTTTTACACTACATTTTGATGTGCACTCTCTTAGTGAGTCTGCGGTCACCCAATGCAAGAAAGCTGCCATCCTGTGGCCTACGGCCCCAAGCACTACAATGAACAGCTGCTTACAGCTGTAGATATGAAGCAATTTCTTTTTGAAAGTTAAAATTATAAATTCTGTGTATTTAAAAAGAAAACAGAAAAAGCTTTTTGGAATTGCAAATAACACCGGCAAATACTTTAGGAACCTAGGTGACACCTGAGCCATTATTTAAGAGCAACTTATTAACTTCTGAATTAGGGGTCAGAAACTTCACCTACCCAGAAAAAACAATTTCTGCAAAAAAAAGTTGATTTTGAAAAATGTCATATTTACATCCACCAACATCTAGAGAGCATTCCCAGAAAGTTTCATTAGTTTACACTGCATAGTTACTTTTTTATGAATTATTTTCGGTCCTCCGATGCTAAAGAAAAGGCAGGGGCTGGAGCGCTTTGAACGCAATTTTCTCCATTCCACTTTTTGGCATAAATTTCACTTTAGGAAAACTATCGTTTTGTTATTATGCAACTTTGATTCATTTTTATGAGTTTTTCTGGGGTGAAATTTTAAGGGGAAGATAACTATGAGCTTGTATTTTTTTATTTTTGTCATTTTTCATGCTCAAGAACTAAACTTTGGACAAAGGATGGAAATCTAAAAAACTGTATTTGTGTTTATGTGGCTTTTTTGTCATGAAAGATGGTATAACATAGAAATATAGCTCCATAGTTATCTGCTCTGAACTGTCCTAATGCAATGTAACACATGAAAACTACAAATTTATAAGTAATTTCAAAACGATAGTTTTCCTATGCAGATAGGAAAACTGTGATGCTTTCCGAGACGTGGTATCAGCAGGATAATGAAGTGTTTAGGATGCCTGATTATGAAACTCTGTACCTTAACCGCTCTGTCAAGAAGGGGGGTGGTATATTATTAATGATTAAGAACACATTGAAATTCGACGTAATTCAACATTTTACAAAAATAACGGACGATTTTGAAATCTTAACCATTATGTGTAATCAAAACATTTTTTCTGTCGTGTACCGCCCCCCTGGAGGGAGCATATCTGCTTTCCTATTGTTCTTGGATGATTTTTTGTGCTGGGTAAACGAGAATAGATATAACCTGGTCTTAGGTGGCGATATTAATATTAATATGTTAAACGCGACGACAACACAGGGTGAGCTCGTTAGAATATTAGACTCAAACGCTTGTGTTAACACCATTACTCTGCCAACTCGTTTTCAGAATGATTCTGCAACGCTACTTGACGTTTTTATTACAAATATAGACACTCAAAAACTAGTATCCGGTGTTATCGGGGTGAACGTCAGCGATCACTTGCCCATTTTTCTCATGACTACTCAAAACGCAATAGTTGAATCATATAAAGAAATTCATACTCTTACATTTCAGGACGTTAATCCACTAACATTAGAACAATTTCGCAATGAACTCGCACAGATATGCTGGGATATAGTATATAGTAAAACTACCCCTGATGAAGCGTATGACACGTTTTTAACCTTGTTTAAGTCGGTTTATGTAAGATTATTTCGTCACAAGGCATCAAGAAGCAAAAAGTCAAGGAAACCATGGATAACGAACAAGTCGTTAAAACTAATAAAACAAAAAGATGCTTTTTATCGGCGGTTTTTACAGACAAGAAACTCAAATGATCTACATGCTTTCAAAGTTTTTCGTAATAAAGTGACTAGTTTTCTTAGAAATGCAAAAAGGAATTATCTTCACAACCTGTTCAATGCCGACATACTAAAACGAAGTGACATTACGTGGCAAAGACTGAATACGGTGCTTGGTCGTGGCCAGCAACACTCACAGTGTATTCAAGAGTTACTTTTAAATGGCCAAGCAACATCGGGAACGGCGCTAGCTAACTCTTTTAATGACTTTTTTGTATCGCTGGCTAACAGTACATATGATCCGCGTAGTTTAGAATACCTAAAAGCTAGAAACCGTGAAAGT